CACACATTATTCTCCAATGAGAATAGAAAAATTACAAGAAATTACAATTTTTTCCCACTCCGATGCACGAGAAAGGCATCTTTTGAATATAATTATGAATAAAAGATAAAATCTTTCGAAAATTTCTGCAGAAAAGAAAAGCAAAAATTTTTATTTCCCAAAGGAAAAATCCTTCCGCAAAAACTCAGTAACGTTCTGCGACAATGCCGCCATGCGGAAAATGCTTATTCTTAAATATAAGTTAACTCATTTAACTATAACTGTTAATTTTTAATATTCTAATTTTCTTAACTGCCCGTCCCCTTCAAAGTTATCCATTTTTTAAATCAGATTTTTCTGAAGAAGGAAAAAAAAATTCTGTTCAATCAAACCAATTCTGGCCAGAGTAATTGTTACCAGCAATAAATTACCTGAATATGAAATGTATAAAAATTTAACAAGCTAATATTTACATCAATTGCAGCAAAAGCACACTTGTCTCCCAATTCTTCAGCAATTTTATGACCATTTGACGTGGGTAAGTCACAAATCACAACTGATGCTCCTTTCTGAATCAGGCGACGTGTTGTGGCTTCTCCAAGGCCAGATGCTCCACCAGTTACAAGAGCTACCAAGCCCTATTGAAATAAAAAATTATTGAATATAATATCTTCAATGAAAATTGAACATAATTCATAAAAATAGTTTTCCAAAAAAATTGTCTGTAATCTTGTTACAGCACATGATTTACAGATCGCAAACTTTACATATTGCACTTTCCATTGCTACTTAAAAATTGCATTTTTATGGCTTCAATTGTATTTTCCTCAAGTATATTTCTAATCTGTATATTTTTATGATTTCAGCCAGAATTAACATAAAATATTTTATACAGCAATTGAGAAATTAGAAATTTATTAAATGCTTTTGAAAGGAATAAAATTTTCACAATAGTTAGAAACAAGTTTCACATATTTTACAAGTTCATAGTTTTCAAAATAGTCTGACATATTAAATTGAACAACTTTCAAGAAATTTGTAAAAAATTCCTCACTCATTCCTTCTTTTAGCAGAACTTGGTACTATCAGTGATAGGGGCCAATAAATAAAAAAGAAATTATTACATATTCAATAGCATTAAAATTTCAGTCTTTGACTATAAATACTTTTTAGTCATCTTCAAGCATGTTTCAGATTTCTAATATTTAAAGTGGTAGCATATTTTTTGATTTAATATTATAACTAAAATGATATTAAATAACAATACCACGATATTTAAATAATTGAATGGATTGTATAAAGATTAAATATATTATATAAAAGAAAGCCGAAGGGAGCAGAAATCTTCATAGGTGCTGGAAAAAGTATAAAAACAATTGATTTCTTATGTTTCTTCACTAACAACTTAAAATATTAAGAGCTAAAACTTCCGGGTTGGTAGGTCTAATATTGCAAAAGCCATCCTTTCATGCCTTCGTTCATTTATACACAATAAATGGAATGAAAAAATAAATGCACCCTTAAACAGCTGTCTTGTTTAATATTTACTCACCTTGATCACTCTAATAGAACCTGACATAATATAAAATATAATTGATGTTTAATCACAGATTATCAAAATATATTTTTATTATTGCATAATAAATCACAAAAATATTTTTAAACGCTTCCGCCTTACTACTTTTGTTCTTATTAATATCCGATTGAACTTCATAAACTTAAGAAATGTCAACAGCTCAGCAACAACAATCAGAAATTTACGATCGCAGCGCTTAAGCACATCATCTGGAGATAACATTAGTTCCATGTTTTGACCTNTAAAAACAATTGATTTCTTATGTTTCTTCACTAACAACTTAAAATATTAAGAGCTAAAACTTCCGGGTTGGTAGGTCTAATATTGCAAAAGCCATCCTTTCATGCCTTCGTTCATTTATACACAATAAATGGAATGAAAAAATAAATGCACCCTTAAACAGCTGTCTTGTTTAATATTTACTCACCTTGATCACTCTAATAGAACCTGACATAATATAAAATATAATTGATGTTTAATCACAGATTATCAATAAATATTTTTATTATTGCATAATAAATCACAAAAATATTTTTTCAACGCTTCCGCCTCACTACTTCTGTTCTTATAAATATCCGATTGAACTTCATAAACTTAAGAAAATGTCAGCAACCAACAACAAGAAATTTACGATCGCAGCGCCTAAATACATCATCTGGAGATAAGATCAGTTCCATGTTTTGACCCACCCCTTTTTTCCTCTCCTCTTCTCAGTTAAGTCTACGTTATTTTCTCCTTCCATAACCTGTGCTACCGTAAAGTGCTCGACTTCGCACGTAGGTCGTCGGGCTACCGAAGCGGGGGTGCCATCCCCTCCGCAGAGAATCAAAATTGTGATGGCATGTCTTCGAATCATCCTCCGGGATGTTTCCCAGACCGTCGCCAATAGCCCATTGTGCAGCTCTGGTGCGACGTAAATTAACAGCAACAATCTTCCATAACATTTTTCATATTTAATTGTCAAAAATATTTTCTAACATTTCTACGATGCTTTCTTTAAAAACTATGTTTTTTACACTTTTGAGTTCCATATAATATCCTAACTTAAAAGTTTTTAATCCATTTTTAGAAAATCAAGAAAGAAAGTAATTTACTTACGTCTGCTATGACTGACCACAGGCTTTTAATGGAAGCATGCAAAGTGTTTCCATAGATAGAGAGTTCTGCTCTGCTCCACCTGCAGATGTTTCGTTCGTCAATACTTTATTTTAGTTTTTTACTTTACATTAATACTTTATTTTCAGTTGTGAAAACATAACTTCCAGTTCAAAATATTAAACTATGGAATCTCTATATCTAAATAAGCGCAATAAAATACAATGCATACTTATGCCTACTGCTTATGCTCTATTCAGAGCCTAATCTAGAAATGCTGGGGCCCTAGGTGCAGAACTGTTAGGGGCCCCCTGGATGTAACTGTATACCAAATTTATATGTTGTTTGATTACGAAGTGTTTTTAAATTACTTATAACATATGAAACAATTTTTTAAATTAATTTAACATAAGTATATTAGTAAATTTTAGCTTAGATTTATTTTATTTTTTCGTTAACTCATAATTCTGATTGACAGTTCTAATAGACAATTCTTAAAGAAAAACACAAAAGGAAATTATATGTAATATTCATGGAGGCCCTCAGAAATGCGGTTCATGTACTGCACTGCAAACAAAAAATATCGAATTCGAGTTTTCATGGGAATATTTCACCAATCAGGTTCTCCGTCGACGACGATCGAAGTGCGTGTACCATTGATTACTAGGGTCGAACTGATGTAATCAAAACAAACCTGATTAACAGTTAACTTAAAACAATTTAATTTCGCCCCAGAAAATAAAAAACAACATAAAATCTCCTTCAAAAAATTTAGGATTAATTTTCGAAAGTATGATAAATGACGCATCTTGTTCTCATAGTTTTATGACCTGTAATAGAATTAAATTAGCAGTAAAAAAATTAGATTACATTTAAAAAGTTTCAAAAAAATTTCTAAGTAGTTTCTGTTAGTTTAGAATATAAGCTTTGAATGGCAGGATTTCCACAAATTTAACATTGTACTATTAAACATGATTTATTAAAAATGACATCGGCATTATGTTTGTTGCGACTAATCTTGCTGTCCGGATCATTATTTTAGGATATTATCATCTGTTATTAAATTTTTTTTTAAATTACAGAATGATATTCGTGGAAAATCCCATATCCTTTAGAACTTTCAATAAAGCAAGTACAAAAGCTATTAATAAATTGGATAGAAACTTTTTACATTTTCAAGATATTCAAATCGGATCTTTTTTTATAAGCTACCAAATACAATTCTAAACAAAATTACGAAGAAACAAAATTTGCAAATGTTTTCTGCGTATGCACAGTATGAAGGGATTACTTTAAATACTCATATCTTGAGCAATTTTTAACGAATTTTTTCTTTCAAATTTTAAAATGTTACTTTCATTATTAATTTAAATTACTCAAAAATTTTGTTTAATTTTATTGAATACTTCAGCTGTTATAAGTAAAAAAAAAAATTATAAAAAATTTCCACATCTTCATGAATATTTAAGCTAGGTTAACTATATTTGGCAGTTATTTAACGTAATAGACAATATAATTGACATAAATTACAAGCCTACCGCTATATTGTTTGGCATAGGATGTTCAAAAACATTATTTTACGTTCGTAATTTATTGGCGGTCCCTCAAACCTCTAAAAGATTTAAATTTTATTGAAATGTACAAAAAATTGAATGGCCTACACTTCTAAAGTATTTCTTGAGAAATGTGGAAGAAATGAGTTTGTATATAAGTGTTTTCATTATTTTGTCCAAATCTTGCCGGAGCAATATAAAATAAATCGAATTCTCAATATGCAACTCGCAAATTATTTCTCATTTTGTAACATAGAAAATTTGACTAGTAAATGAATTTATAATTAAAACTTGAATATTTGCTTCAATCTCTTAAATATTGGACCACAATGGTGCCGAAGTATCAATGGGAAAAACTGGGATTTTATTTTTGTCGGTATCTTGAAGCTCACTCAGGTCAACTCCTCTAAAAATCTCTGCAATTATATCAACGCTAAATTATATAGTTCCTAAACTTATCCAGCGTCTATTACACTGAAGAGCCAAAAAAACTGGTACAGGCATGAGTATGCAAATAAAGGGATATAGAGCCAATCAAAGTACAGCGCTGCGATCG